CCGTTGGTACTCGGTCCACCACGTCCTTGCAGAGTGGGGCAGGCCGGCAAAATCATTGTGTCAGGCATTGTCAGCACTAGTACGCGTAATGGCAAAAACAATCGCCTTTGGGTCGGTGGGACTTATGACTTGGTCCTCTGGCGTGTGGGAGCAGTACGAACTATTCCAACTAATTACTCGGCACAAGACCTTCCTAACATTCGTTCGAGAAACCACATCGATGCTGGCTGTAACTTTTGCTCAGTGGCTGGTTGAGGGCATCGCCTACACTGCTGACGTGCGTTACCTGAGCACGCAGAGGCTCGGACTCGAAAGGCTCTCACTCCATCCCCTCACCCTCCCGGCGAGTTACGCGGAATTATCGCCGGGGGCCGAAGTCAGTCTTGTGCCCACCCGGAAAATTCAATACACAAGTCTTGCGAGAGCTGCCACCTCCGCTGGGTGCGAAAGCAAACGCTCCCCTCCCCCTCCCGGCCTGAAAAACGGATTAGCTGCTGATATGGGCGGTATGATGTCCAACCGACATAGTATTGTAATACAGTCACTGCGTGAACTTCCAAGCTTTTTGTTTGACTCTTCTAATCGGACAGTCCAAGCCTCCAAGCCCATGCCTCTTTGTACATCATCCTGCTTTGGACGCTGAAGGCTTAAGCACCGACAAACGTCAGAGAATCTCACATCGGGCCATGTCTTCGATCTCAGACCTTGAACGCGCAAAGACAGCAAAGGATTGGGCAAATTTCAATTCATCGAACCTCGATGACATCGAATCTCGATGACATCGAATCCTGCGGTGGAGTCGCCTCGCACGCCTATGATCCAAAAGGCCGAGGTGCTCCCATCTGAACCTTGTAGCTTGAGGCTGTGGAACAGGCTGCAGGGTGGGAGGTTCGCCTTTAATTCAGTGGTGTAGGGTCGGAAGCTTGGCAGTGGTCAGAAATCTGTCGTTCACGGGCTTGCGCTTTGCATCATCTCCCAATAGCTGGACCCTCAAGACAGATTATCTACGTGCTGGATTGTGCAATGGGCTCGGACTGTAGCCGCTGTGCTCCCAGAAGGTGCGTATACTTCTTAGCCGTGAGATTCCTCACAGCTTCCGGCAACTTCAATTTGGATACTTGTATCGAATCGTCATCTGCTGACCTTGAGGGTGCTGCCACTTGGCAGGCAAGGGCCCAGTGTATGCATGACCCGCACGGCATATCTCTCTGAACCACCACTATCACTACCTGGACAACCTGAACCCAGAATGCCAAGCTTTGGCCTCAAAGTCACAGCCAGACAGAAGGAGCCGGGAGACAAAGAAGATGCCGAAGAGACACAGGAGGAAGGCAAGCAAGATCAGCGACCAGAACTTAGTCGGTGCAGTCATGTCTTTGCGGTACTGTTGTTTTCCACAGTGTGTTCGGCTGATGCTTCGAAAGTTTAAACACCAAACCTGCATGAATTTTCGACCTAAGCTCGCGACTGTCGTCTCCATGTGGCGAGAGGATGCGAGAGGGTAGCCTAATACCCTCACAACTTAAAATCTCCGAGTTTGCCCAAGTAGCCATGGTGAACATGCAGCCCAAGAGGGAGTCCAGAATCCTTGTGATCTTGCCGGTTGGGATTTAATTTGTAGATGTGCGCCCCGGGTTGGAGATCGGGATGTAGTGACTCGTGACACTGTGGTTTGGGTGCTCATCAATATGTGACAACTATACTTCCAGACTGTAGTAACATGCCAGGCACCGAAAGCCGTGGAAGCTTTGAACCACCTCGATAAGGCAGTGGCAACGGGGCTCATCCGACAACACTGAAAACTAGTCCAATCTAGGCTTTGGGCCTGGACCTCCGGAACAAAACTCACGGTTTGAAGTTGAAACCTTCATGCAAGGAAATCTGTGAGCTGCTCGGATCGTCTTCAATAGTCTTCAGCCTCTTGGAAAGCCATGGGTCGTGCGCAGATCCTCCAATGCGCGGAGGGCCTTGAGCATCCTGGCGATCCTGGCACGAAGCAAGCAGAAAGTCACTGCTTTGCTTCGCCGGATGGTAGAAGTCGCAAGGGCCAACTTTAGCAGCTAATCAGATCGTGCTTGCTATTATGAAACCCTTATTCCACACTGCACGCCACAGTCCGCAGTTCGTGGATTAAGTTTGCCGATGCCTTCCGACTTGCAGTCAAGGCAGCCCGTTTCAACACATAGACTCTCACACAATCTCCTAGCAGAACTGAAGAGCCCGCAACATACGCTTTGGAATGCAACGGTTGTAACCATCAATTAAAACCACACCCAATGCCCAATCAGCAAAGTAAAGACTAGGCCCTTAACCCTAAATTGCCATGCCTCCCCACTTTCACCAGCCGCACAATTCGGAGAAAGGTCGGGTTCAGAAGCGACCTCGGACTGAGAAGTTATTTCATATCTGCTCGGGGCCTTGCTGGTAGAGGCTGTGAAGTTCAAGTCCAGTGGGCGGGGCGTGGTGGAACAGAACTGTAGTTGCAGGAGCAATCGTCAAACCACTGCGGAACTGGCCCCTCAGCTCTGCGGAGCCACTCGCCTATCGTGTACTGCGAACAATGCGCGACAAGCAGCCAAGCTTTTCAAACCATCAGAGTACCCTCGGCCCTGGCCCTTGGCCCGATCTGGAAGCCTGAACCCTGCACCAGCACTGCTCTGCAACACTACATTCCCAGAGAAGATACCTGCACCAAGTGCAGGAGTGCAGGAGCATGTACTGGGGGTGCCGCGCAGCCACGAGCTCCAGGTAGGCGAAGAGCACCAATACAAAGTCGAAAGAATTCCAGCCGCCATCTGCGTTCACCTTGAATCGCAACGGTTGAGGGGATCGGAATGCCATGTCCTCGGGGAATGCTTTGCCTGGGCTTTTGCTTTTGGCCATGAGCCGTTCGAAAGTTTAGCAGCGAGCTGAATCTCTCGTGGGGCCTCCAACAGCTGTGTGCAATCTGCGCAGGCAGTGGTACTTTACACTCGGAGTCAAGCGACAAAGAAATGAAGCCGATGAACTGAGAGCTTCAGCAGCAGCTCCTGAATATGTCCACTTGCTTCTGCTTCCTAAGACCTGTGGCTGTCGCATCCTTTTCACAGAATTATAGGGCATGATGGTAGAATTCTTTGACACACCGTCTGCAGTCGGGCTGACTGGGTGAGCGATTGAAGCCGTGATCTGGCTCTAAGCTAGCCGACAGGCCCCAGAACAGCCGCCTGCCTTGATGACGTTGCTGACACTCTACAACTGCGATTGTGAATACTCCACAATGACAATTCTGATGGTGGGACGATGGTGCTGGTGCTGGCTCTGGCGCAGATGCTGGCTATGAGAATAGTCATGGACGAGGATGGTGATGATGATGGTAGTGGTGATGATGGTGATGATGATGATGCCCTGGGCACACTGGGAGTGGTCGCGGTCGGCTGTTGTGGCCATGGCGGCGGTGGCGGCAGTGATGGCGGGAAGCGGTGGCGATGGTAGTGGTCGGGGCGGTGGCGCATGTGTGTGTGTGTGTGTGAAATGACTATGACGGTGATGATGCCAGTGTCCTGGGCAGCATGTCAAAAGTAAGTCTACTATTGCGCGACGAACCCCACGGATGCCATACAGCAACACTGCACCTAAGCCCGGTCCAGGGTGTAGAAGGCTGTGAACACATGTCCGACGATGACGATCTCAATTGGCTCGTCCTGCATGCTAATACTTGTTTGTATAAGGTGCCGCTTTGCTGCGCATGGTTAAATACATCGCATCATTGCGAGTACCGGGCACCGGGTGCTTAGCCCTTGCATCTGCTGACCTGTCTTCGTAGTTGGACAGTGCGGTCAAGTCAACTCGCATTGACGGTCAACGGGGCAGGACGGGATAGAGAGCGAGAGAGCGAGATATATATATATATATATATATATATATGATAAAATACAAGTATAATAAGTACAAACATGCACATGTGTGTGTGCGCGCGTCTGGTGGAACTGGAAAGCAAGATGGCAACCGTGCCACATAGGCTCCACACGTGTAAGCCGAAATGAGGCTCTGCTGGGGGCAAAGCTGGCAAATGTCTAAGCATCTGGGTCCTGGCCGATGTTTGCCATGGCCCAGTTGCTGGAATGGATGATGACGCCAGCATTGGCCATGATCACCTCTCTATGCGAGATCGGGAGACTGCGGGAATCTCTCTTACTAATCTCCACGGCGTGAGTCCAGGCTTGAAGTTGATGCTGCTTCTTGAGTCTCTGGCGAGCAGGCAGACGGTGTGGAACCTCGGCTTGCTCCATGCGGTGACGCCAAGCACATCACACATTCAGGTTGCCAGCCGGCCAGTGCCGGAAGAGCCCGTGGGGACAGGTGCGTCTGCATGCTCTAGAACTTTTTCATACCCCGCACCCGCTCCGTGAGAACCGCAAGACCTACCTTCTGATGGTGAAACTCGAGAGGAGGCTCGAAGTAGATGAAGCACTAGCCCTTCTCAATGAACTTCGGATTGAGAGCCCATACGCCCACATGCAATAGCGTTGCCTGTGCAGGCGATGCTCTCGAGCAGGATCGGAGTTGGACCGAAAAGATCAGGCGAAATACCAGGCTGACGAAATGCCACACTCAATTATTACTTTTGGGCTTGGCCTCCATCACCTGAAGCGGAGCGGTTTTGCCCTTCATCCCCGCCACAGCCTCCATCGCCTGCATGCACGAAGCTTTGCCCTTCGCCACTTCGCCGCAGAGAACTTCGAAGCTTCGGCCGGAAGCTCGGTGTACCGAAAGGGTAGGGCAGCCATTTCCGTTTTGGCCAGTTGGGGGCCTCAAGGGCTCCAGTCCCACTCCCTTCTGGAGGGACTCTCCGGGCGGCTTGGGTTATTATATCCACCAACTTCAGCGAGAAAAGCTCCCGACCTGGGGGTTGTCTGGCCGACACCATAGGAAGCCCATTGTTGCACGCTGTCATGCGCTGCGCACACTCCGAGCTTGTAAAGCGACTGGATTGAAGGGCCTTGGGCACCTTCCCGATCTCACGGCGCGCGCGGCTTGGGTTCGTAACACCGGGCCACAGCTCTCCGAGCGAGGCTTTGCACCTGTCCAGGCACACGCAACTTCGCTGCACTGCGATGGAAGACAAGAATGCCTGAAAAGTAGCTTGAAGGCATGCACGTGGTGGACATTCTGAGCACAAGACAAGAGGACCGCCGGCATACCAAGGGTTCGAACGAACACTTTCGAGTCACTTTCCCCATCGAAGCTTAAACCCCGAACCGAGAGCCTGCTTGTTGTGGTCCCCTGTCAGTTCCGTCAGCACATCGAGATGGGGTATCAACCTGAACAGAGAGTTATGTCCACTTGAGCACCACGACGCAAAGGCCCACTGCTCCCTTTCAGTGGGAAACAACCGGAACCTCAGCCTCGTAGCATCACAAAAGCGGCTGCTGCCCGACTTGGAAAAATGCCGGGCCACTCGCCAGGTTTGCACTCCACCAGCGCACGCAGAGCATTCCACCGGACAAGAAGTGTGTCCTGAATTGCAGATGCGGATCAGAACCTTCCATGCAGAACGACTCTGCCGCATGTCGTACAAGTGCCCGGCATGTCGACAGAAAACTCCGAACGTGAACACTGGAGAAAAAACGCACAGAAATTTGCAAAGGATGTTGATACCCATCTTTCCTTGAGCCGCTTGGCGAGCAAGGGAACGTACCTCAAGCAGCGAAACGACGTCATCCAAAAGAATTATTTCGAACAGCGACGAATGCGAGGGCTTTCATCCTCTGAGCATTCTTTGCTTCTGTATCCAAGACATATTTGTAAGCTGAAAGCTGCTCGTAGGCTTTCGTGTCCAGCATCTGGCACGTACTTGCTGTCCCAGTATTTGGGGCTCACGTAAGATTCTCATGCGCAGACCCCAAGGGTCTGCCCCAAGTCAACTGAACTGTTCACCGCGCGGCGCAGAAATCGTGGCTGGGTTCAGCTTCGCCATCGCTTGGCACACTGCGATCCGAATCTCGACATCCGGGTCCTTGCAGCGGACGCTGGCCGGCCATCACACCAAAACCCTGAGATTTCGCGTGATCCGATGCACGAGTAAGACCCCTATCCGCGTGTGGGAATGTTCCTTGCTCAGCTACTCGCACCAGATTCGCTGGATCCAAAGCATCATGCTTCCTTCAGAACCTAGCTCGTGGTGGATACCCAAAAATGTCATCTGATAATTACTCTCATCTGACACCCGTGCCCTCCAGCATCCTGGCTCAAGGCAGCCAGCTTGGGCAAGTGCCTTGGAAGACACTCCCAGAGTCAAGAAACTAAGCTGAGATCGTCTGCGTATCTTCTAATAGTCCGAATCTTGCTCTTTCAGGCAGAGATAACTATGTGCATTCGCATATCAAGCAAGACAGGCAAGCAGATTACCATCTCTAGTTGCGCATTCCTGGTCCATAAACCTGCTTTGGAAGGTCTGGGAAAGTAGTTGGGGTCTCGGGCCTTACGCACCTCAGCAACTCCAAGTTGCGGCACCAGCAGCGCCGCGCGGCAGCGGGCGAGCCCCTGGCAGGCTGCGCCTTGACGAATGGACAACGACGAGGAAATCGGTGTTCGCAAAAGGGCGAATCATTATGGGCAGTATGGTGTCACGCTTCGACTTCACACTCGCTCTCGCAGGCACCGCTTCATGAGGTCAGGTTGCTACCGTTTGGGCTTCGGGTGCCGGTTTTGCCGCGTTCGAGCTGGAGCAAGGCTTCGAAAGAAACAGCAAACATTAACCACAAGAGCCCTAACTACGTGTCATCACTCCGGAGCCCTCTGGCTCTCGTAGTACATGAAAGTGTGACCTCGAAGATCTCTTACGGCGACGATGTCAGGGTTGAAAAAACAGGCTTGAGCAAAAAAAAAACGTCCTCCACTGTCCAAATGTAAGGTCTAGAGGAGGCCTGATGGGGAAGAGAAAGAGACTGCCGCGCAAACTCGAAGATGCAGAGGCGGCCGCAGACTTTACGGCTTAATTGCCCAACTCTTTGCAGCAAGGGACGCCGAATCAGCCAGTGCTCATCGTCTACTCGCAGGGCGAGGGAGGCCGAGTGTGGCGACACCGCAGCTTCGTCTGCACACGAAGTGTAGAGGGATGGGAAGGAAGGGCCAGGCTTGTGTTCGGAGGTTGTAGCTTCGCAACTTACTCTGCCGTGCCCAGGCCCCTAGACTCATTTCTGCCAAGTAAGGAGAAGCAGCAAAGCTCGATCGTTGGACTCAGACGAGGCTTCCTTGCCTGGGTTGTGGTGGGATCAGACGGGCTTGTACGGGGTAGGTGGGGTTCGAAAAACATATAATATATATATATATATGTATGTATATATATATATACTTGTATGGTGTAGTGACAGTGTATGGTAAACTCCTGCTTGCTATCCCCCGCCTTTGATCCGAGCGAAAGCCCGAAATGCCGCCACGACCAGTTGAGGATCCTGCGGCGAGGAGCTTTCAGTGTCACTGCAGTGTCACGGCTCTCCAGAAATCGCAGCTCGCGAGCACCAACCCGGCGATGACCATGAAGCAATGAGCCAATCCCCAAGCCAAGAAACCTCTGAATCCTTCCATAGGGTTTTGGGGGGTATATTCTACTCTAGTTATGATCCTTCCAGAGCTTACAAACCCACCAAAATAGTACAGCAAACAAATTAAAAGCCCCGTGGTCCTCATCTTGGAAACAGTCGGCCAGCAAGGCCGCCGCGGGAGTCACGGACCACTCCTCGCAAGCTGCCAAGGCCTCGCCTAGGCTTTGGCGTGCATGGCATTCACAAGCAAGAATAAGAATCATACGAATAGTAACAATAAAGCTTAGTAAGACGCTCCCACGAGCAAGAACCTTGAAGATCACCGACATCCCAAAACCACACAAAAAGAAGTGGTGAACCCTAAGCCCTAAACCCTAAAGAACCGAAGTCTTGCCCTGGCACAAGCAGCGACGCGGGCGCGAGCGTCAGGGTCGGCAAGATGTGTGGCCAGGAGCCCTGGCTATGACAGCAGATGTTGCTTTTACGGTTTAGGTCTTATTGTTCTTTTGAACCCTCTCTTCTCCCCGCCTAAGTTCAGGTTGGTTGAAGGCCACAGGTGGCTGAGGGTTGGACTGGGAAGACACAGGATTACTCCGAAGTTAGGGTTTAGGGTCGCAAGATCGACACAGGCATGAGCTCCATGGATCTTCACGACTGTCGGTTCATCTCCTCGTCCTGAAGAAAAAAGCCGGAGAGGTCTCGATACATCTCGAAACTGTAGCATTGTAGCCTAATCCGACAGCACCAGCCACACGAACAAAACTGGCCGCCGTGTCAGGCCGGCCACTTGCATGGTCGAAAGCACGCGTCGTTTCTGTCGGTAGCTTCATTGGCTGTAAGATGGCTGCAGGTTGTGTTGACAAGCACGCCCACCGGAACCTATCAAGCAGAGCACGTGGCAGACTGCCAAAGATGACGTTGAGAAGCACAAACCGAAACTTGCTTCATGCCGGCATCGAGCAGAAAGTCGAGCCGGAAGAGCCCCCGAAAGGTGACACGGCATCAGCCTCACAGCGAGCCAAGGCTTTGCCTCGCAAATGCACTCATGGTGTGCGACAACAATTTGAGGCTGTCCTTCTGCTCAACTTGGGCTGTAAGCTTCACCAAGTGGCATACGTCAACTACACTGCACGACTTGGAGCCGTGCTTCTTGGGAGCTTAAAGGGCTGTGAACCCCAGCATTTAGCACAGGCTGTTGGCCAAGGCTTTTGTGAGGTGACACAGACATACACACATCGTAAGCCTCAAAGTCTACCACCCTGGCGAAGCTTCAAATCAACTGGGAACACGAAGTTTTCCGAAGCATTCCGCCAAGATGCATGCATGGAGGCGCACCTTCCACGAGAGGTCCTGTTCGGAGCGTGGTCAGCATCTACCACGCTGACGCTGCATTTTGGCAGGCTCTGACCCTCATCCCAAATGACAGGACCCCAACGTGCAGCTACTTTACATGCATGAGTCATTTCCACCTACAATTAAAGCTGCAGTCACAAGTCTGCTTTCAACCTAGGCACGCCCCACCATCGAGCAAAGATGAGCACAAAGTCCTCCAGGCAGGACGCCAGTTGTGGTGCAAGCGGGGACAAGACGTCAGCATCTTCGATCCTTCCGGATGCACGTGTACGGATGAAAAAACCCGAGGACACCGCTTGCCTGCAGCCATTAAGAGCTCGGGTTGAAGATTGCAGTAGTATTAATAGTAATATTGTTATTGTTGTTATTATTATTATTGCTATTATTATTAGGCTTCTGGGCCGACCGAAGGGTTCTGCGCAGGGTCGTTGTTGAGTTGGGTATTCGGCTGTCGGCTGATAGGGCTTCCGAGATATTGAAGTCCGAAAAGAGGCAACATCTAGCGAGAAGCTCGGACTGGAATCGAAGAGCCTGATGTCCTAAAGCATGATTACTATATTGGCCTCTGCATTGGAAAAAGGGATTTGGGGCTTACAATACTATAATACGCACCCGTTACTGTACTTCTACACCGCATGATCTTGCTTGTCTAGCTGCACGCATCCTGCGGAATAAGACTGTCAATTTTTCTGACCCCCCCTTTTATATTATCCAGGCAGCTCAAGGCTTCGCAGCACCCGCCCGAAAGCGCAATCTCCCAAATCTGATGCGATTGCAGAGCCAGCCTGACCAATCCGACAACCAAGCACATACGCTTCCTGGCGGCAGCCGACACGCGAGCCTGTGAAAGGCAACCCGTAAAACATACGCAACAGCCCTAAGCTGGAAACCACAACCTGCGACTTCCCCCAAGTCTGAGTCTAGTCTGCAACGATGGCCACAAGGGCGAAGGGTAAAAAACAAAATAAACGGCACGAAGTCTAACCCCTCCATCCAAAACCCTGTCAAACCTTAAGCTTCACCCGAAGCTGCAGCGGTCGCTGCTCAATGTATCATGATTATGTCATGTCCTTGCTTTGGGCCTGGGCTCTGCATGGATCAAACAGTCCATTGATCCCTTATCCCCGAAAAACTCAAGCCCCTACCTAACCTTGCAACCGGAAAGCCTCTTCAAGGACCTGTGAAACCCATTCCGTCCTCGCCAGGGCCTCTGCACAGGCAGCCCTCAGCGCCAGGTCCCCATGGTTGAGGCCGCGAGCCAGAGCCGGAGCCAACTGCCTTTGAGCATTCATTTGACCTCTCTGCGGCTTGTTTCATCGCCGCTTCTCCGCCGAGGAGGTAGCAAATGGGAATGCCAGGTTCATTAAATTACAGTTTAGGAAGTCAGCTTCAATTTTCTGGGCACCTGTGCCACTCCGAGAGCTTCTAGTTCAGACTACGTAGGATAATTCGATCCTGCGAACTCTCGCCTAAGGAGGTGAACTGAAAGACTGAGATGGGCTAAACTGGATTTCGGACAGCGGAGCGAAACCAGAACAACAGCACTCGACACGTGCAGAGATTGAAAAATCTCAGCTCCATAAGTTTGCCGGAGTGCTGTGCTTGCTGTAGCTGCTGTTTTATGTCAAGTATCTGTTTCTCAGTTTCTCCTATGGGTGTGTCTCGGTGCCTGCTCCGCCGGATAAAAATGTACGAAATGACACAAGGAACAAAGCCCAGATTATCGCTGCCTGAAATTCATATTGTTACTTGGGCTTGCGTTTATGAGTTTATTCCACATTTGCGGATTTAGTTGTGGCCAAGGTCGTGTTTTTGCTGCTTCGGCTGCTGTCAGCTACAGTATCCTCTGACCTGACAGAGTTCTTGGCAATCAAGGCACTGAAGTGTCGGGAGGGCCATCCGCTCCAGAACCTGTGGCGCAGGTTAAATGGAAAAGGAAGCCAGGGAAGCCGAATAAATGGGGTGGGGTTTTGTGGCATCGTATGCAAACTATGATTACATACGGAATGCGATGTACTAGCAACTGAGCAACACTACACAGCTATTCACAAGGAGTCCCTGCTCAGTGTTTTAGTGCCGCTCCAGGATCCATTACCAACCGTTCCTCTTCAGCCCAACACTGCTCTCGCATTACAGTACCCATCCCATGTCGTCCGGGCACGCACCTTAACAGTTGCTTGCCGTTAAAGGTTGCTTGTCCATACGGAGGGCTGAGTCAAACTCTTCCACAATTCCCTGACTATCACATCGCACGAGTCATTCTGACCCGAGAAATGAATTGCGATATTTTGGGGGCATGTCGAACGTCAGATATAGGGGCTGCGCGAAGCACGACCATAAACGAGGCCCATGCTGGAGCAGTACCAACAGCACTAAGAAGGTGACAAGTAGACGGGGTATAGAGAAGCCATGAGACGAATCTTGATGTCTTGTAACCGTAACACGAAACGCGTTGAAATCCACAGACTTACCTTGATGTCTTATAACCGTTACATAAAACCCCCAGCGCTCAAGCAGCAGTCTAAGACAAGAGCATCCAAGCACGAGAAAGATGCTGACCGAAGCAGCCAGTGAGAAGCTCAAGCAATGCGACCCTCCTAGATGCTGTCACCGATCGATGCGATTCTCAACTGACATTCATTTCACTCGCACCACGACAGCCATCTTCACCATAGCTTGGCCAACAAATCAACAAGATCTCGGAGTGCAGGGCTAAGTTTGCCCCACCTTCGCGGCGGTCCAGCGAACAAGCAGGTCTGCATCTGTTAGACGGACGGCAACAATGTCCTTGGCATGCTAAAGGTAAGCTGAGGCAGGAACTTCAACACAGCAAACTCAGCTGGAAGAAGCCATGACTCGACGAAAGGTTCCAGCTGCAAGGGGTCCAGCGCCCAAAGGGCCTCTTCAAAGCAGATTCCGCAGAACACTGAGACAGGCAAACCAGGGTTCACAACTCATCAGCCGCTGAATGTAAGGGCTCTCCAGTACAGACCAGAGGGTCCCGGACATGCCCCCAACCAAATGACCGCCCTCTTCAAGCCTTGAAGGCAGCACGCCGCACCATGGCCTGGCATAGCTTTCCAAGCTCCGAGAATTACAGCTCTGCCAGCAACAAGGGTTCCGGGATGGCAACATGCCGTTGTTGCATCGCACGCATCCTGAAGCGAAGGGCTTCGGCCGTGTTTTGTCAGGACTGCGATTACTAGAGCTCCTGTGCAGCTATCTTCCATTCGGTCAAGCCCGCAACATCCGAAAGCTCAGAAGCATCAGGTGCTTGAGAAACCCGTGGTAGACCTGATGATCGGGCCCGACAGCCTCCTGAAATGTCAAAGGTTCTCCTCTCAATACCAACTTTCCTACATTTCCTCTTCTGGCCCATTGCGAAGCAAAAACAAAACAAGGAGATGACTCGTTCAGAAACCACAAACTCTGAATCTTGAACCCGCCAGGAGATACCCTTCAAAAACAGGTCAGGGCTTCGGATGCGGCAGCCAAGGCGTTTCAGAAAGCAGGGGTTTTGATATAGAACCCTACATAGTGAGATCCTTGTTCTATCTTCACCATATGCTACACAAAGACCCCTGAATAAGGCGTCACTAATGGTCAAAGCCTGCTTGGCCCCAGCCTCTTCATCGTCAAGGCAAGCACGGAGCAGGTCTGGCTGCTCCAGGAGGGCCTGCAGAAGCTGAAGTCAGGACAAGGGGTTTCGGTGCTCACACTCGGAGGATGCGGGGTTTAGGGTTAGTTTAGAAGAGCTATGGGCGATCAAGGAATACTAGTCATGCCGCGCCTCTTTTCTGCAGTAGAATGCACTAGGGCTCTTCACGAACAAGGATGAGAATTTTTGTGCCAGGACCTGCGAAAAGTAAAGCGCATGTCTTTACCCATCCGGCTTTTGGCCTTTTGGTTGCGGTGGCGGTGTCTCAGCTCCGCCCACAGCTCCGAAAACAGAAATGTCTCTATCAGCCTCAAACCCTCCCAATCAGCCCTGATTCCCTTCTTGGGAATGATCGCAAGTGAGTCTTTCCGACGGGTCGGGATAAGCTTTAGGGAGGGCGATACCCAGGATTATCCTGTTGGTGAGGCGCTAGAGGTCACCAACTCTACAGTATTCCGTAGCCCAAAGCATGACTCCTGTTTCCCGGCGGTGCCTATATCACGCGCGAAAACACATTCTGGAGGTGTAATGTAGGGGCTGTCGCAATTAGAATAGGGTTTTGGGCTCCTTTATAGTATAAGTATCAGGAACCCTTGGGAATAAGAGGGGTAATTGTTTAGGCTTCGAAAGTAAAACCGGATGCCTCCGGAGGCAGCTTCTGCAAGGCTGAACAGGCCGTACTGCGGACCAGGAACTCCGGATCCTGCCAAAAGCAGCGTCGATCTGGTGGTACAGCATGTACTATCCAATTTGGAGCGCGTTTCTGTAACTGCATCTTGGTTGAATATTGATGTTCTTCTGTTTCCGTCGTTGTGAGCTGGAAAGACTATGACATACTGCTAGCCTAAGGCTTCCAAGGAGCAAGCAATGCGAGGATACACAACCACTGCAACCACTAGCATCGGCACACTTGCATCTCTTGAGCAACGAGCGACTGAATCAGCATCTGACCTTACTCGAGGCAGCAGTCAGAACTCCTTCTGAAGTTTGCCTCAGCATTCCTGACCCGCAGATCGCTCCAGGCACCAGCGTCACATCCCTGGATTGTCTCTAGGACTCTAGGACCCTGAGGAAATGGAGCTCTCCGTCCTTCAGGCCCATGGAGATCAAACCTGGCATTTCGGGACGCCCACATCCGGATTTAAAGATTCTGGGCTGAAGTGATTCCACCCGACGTGGGGCCACGAGCAACAAGGTCACCATGGAAACTCAAACTGGTAATTAGCACACACCAGATCTGAATGCCTCTGGCCGAACTCAAACAAACGGTACGGCCGTGTTGTTGGATCCTGCTAACTCCTTGAACATACCCCACTGCCCTTCCCTTCCACACTTGGCCTGTGTTCTGAAGAAGCTCCTCGAGGCCAAGCTGTCTGTGCATGCGGGGTTCCGGCTCGTTCCCAAGACAGCGCTTAAACAGCTTCAAGACCGCATGGCAAGAATCTACGCAATGCTTGCAAGCTCCGTTAGCACTGCCTCAACCCTGGACCACTTCATCCTAGGGGCCACAAGCTCTACGATCAGCAGTCCTCAGAACTTTGGGCAGCCAGCTCTCCACATGCCTGGGCAAGGAATTTTGGTCCTCTGAGCCCGAGAATGTGTTGGACATGGCGCGAAATAACCTGGAGACTTTACCTCTTCCGGCTGCCATCTGACAAACAACGACGAGCGAAGGTTTCTCCGGCCCAGCGTCATCTTGTGCTTATGCTCCGAAACTTCCTGTAAAAATAGCCCTGGCGCATTCGCCTGTCGCTGTCGCCAGCGTTACGGTGCGGCTTTCGGAGTTGTATGTTGCATGGAGCGGAGGACTTCTGCAAACGGCCAGCGCATCAACCGACCATATCACCGCACTTCACCCTGCCTGCTTCACATGTTCAAGAACCTGAGTCCACAAGCCGCTGCTTGGCTCAGATCACGACTTCATCGGTAGCTACTGATTACACTTACTACCAGTAACATGCCCGACACTACTAGGATTAGGCCCTTCGGGTCGCCTCCCATCGCTGCAGTGGCTCCCGTGCCCGGAGCCGCTGGAAGAGATCCGAAGCCATGGCTGTTCGACTTGTTCTGAGAGCTGAATCACATTGGCACACGACAGGTATCGTAGCAATATCATGTATCAGTGTAGTGTATGACCCATCGCTCTAGTTCAACTTTTCGTTAAAACAAGCATGATATTCGGACGGCCCCTCTTCGTATTGCGAAGGACATGTACGGCGGCAGTAAAACTAAAACTACGTGTACTACTGCCTGTCGTGTCCACAACTACAACTACAAGAGCACACAACAGCTACCATAACATGCATCATACGACTGCTTCTGGAATCATCAATCACTGCAGTTGCACATAGAACAGACAGTAGCAACTGCATGTAGCCACAGCAGTGACATTGATGCACTTATAATTGCAGTGCAGGGAACCAACCACTTCGCACAACAGATGCCAGCCGGCCCTCACGACGTGGCTCCTGCCAGAAGCAGGAACAATCGAATCTCTTCTGGCGCAGTGGGCATAATAAAGCAAGGGCTATCGGACCAGCACGGATGGGTCCCGAAATTCAGATCGAATCGAGCGGCATAGGCAGCGTGCAAAACAACCAACTGCATCCTCGTAGTGAACCCCAGAAATTACAGCAGCCTTAAACAAAACAGCAAGGTTCAGTCTGTGCTGTCTGGCCGATGGTTCATGTCAGCTCAGAATTCTCAAAACCACATGGCAGGATCCCCGCCTTTAGCGTCAGATATCGCAGCACGATGTGCCTCGCAAGCACATCCGACTGGCTGCAGCTCGAGGTGCTCTGAAGGTGTGGAATCTTTGCCAGCTCGGTTGGATGCTGAATCGAACGGAAGGTCGTTTTGCAGATAAATCGCGTAAATTGGAGCAGCGTCATTCTTCCAGAAACCGGGATGATCACGTTCATGATCGGCGTAGTGAATGCATTCGAACAAGAAACGGCATCTCTATGTACATATAACTTGGGCTGTGTGGGCATCTAGTCTCTCGGAGCTTTCAACAGTTCCTTTAGCTTCTCTAAGATTGCTTGCCATGTCTTGCTTTGTGTCGAGTATGCACTGAAAAACCCTGAAGATGTCACCGTGGCAGCCACCAAGACTGCAGCGTTCAGTGCACTGGGCAGAACTCTACATGCATCTTACACCCACATCCTGATGCTGCGACAGCGAGCCTGATAAGGAGCCATATGCCACATGCATTCAGCACCCCGCTATTCTTGCAGAAGTATCAAACGCAGCTACTCGGCAAACGGCGCTTCACCAGAACACCCAAGTTGCTCCTCAAATCTCCTCCAAATTCGAAAGGATTTGGACCGAGGCAAGCTGCTCCAAAGTACGTGAACAGCACGGCACGCGACGAAGGAACCGCTTCACCTGTCCGACCAAACACAGGTTTGACAGAGAGGGCTCCAAGCTTGTCCAGACGACTTCCCAGCCGAACTGCGCAGCAAGAACAATCCGCAAGGACTGTCGGAAACGAACTCACACCGACTCACACCCAGGTCAAGAAGAAAAGGTCCATCCCCCGAACTGCGAAAACGACACGAGGTGCCCAACTGGGCATGCGTGACTGGTGGCAGGCCTCCTACTTTCAGACTGAAAACCTCGGCGCAAAAAAGGCTAAACGTTTTGTTCTAGTAAGGCTACAAACGCAAAAGAAGATTCAGGCGGTTAAGTTCAAGGTTGCATACCCGGACCCAGCCCTCATACATTCGAAATGCAAACCCACCCAAGAAGCTTTTCAGCTGTGGACCTCCATAGACCCGAACCTGAGTGGGTCTCCGGACCTGGGGATGGTCGTAATCATCCTTCTCTGTGATGTGCCTCGTTGCCTCGAGCAGGAGAGGCTACGGACCAAGGTATCCCAAAAGTCCATTGCCATGGGATCTTCTGATTCTGTAAACTTGCCGGGGCTTGGCGGAGTCTGGAGTTTTCATGGTAGACGGTATCAATGCGTGTTCATCCTCACAATCGCACTGCACGCGTCGTGGTTCAGCTTCGCAGGAGAAACTGTACGTGGTAGAATAGTAGAAGCACACCCGAAAGTTCTGGAGCTTCATGTTTCAACTCTAGGGCCGGGGAGAGGGAATTCGTCGTGCACCGGGACTCCGGCGATGTCAAGTCTGTCTGAACAAGCGGATGATTCAAGCACAGGCTACACTCCTCACGTGATTACACCGAACTTTTCCAGGTCAGCAGTCAAGCATACAATTGTCCCTCTGACCTCTGACAACCCTGGCACTCGCCACATAGCCATGGAACAGCAAAACAAGCGAGGGCTGAGGGTGGGCGAGGAAACCACATTCAGAGATAAACAAGCTGCAAAACCGAAACTCAGCCGAGGCAATGTTGATACTGCTCCTTCCTTCACCCAACAAGCTCTCTCACATAGCAACATATATAGTCACAGACGAGTCTCAAAGCTTGTCCAGTCCAGGGTTGCTTGGCGGCTCGCTCTGGCACTCGCCCGTGTTGTCCAGTCCAGGGCCGTCGAACTCGGGCTCATGTGGTTAACCAAAGTCGCACTCGCTGTGTGTACAGCAGACATGCAGAACAAAGAAGCAGCCAACATCAATAAACATGCTGCTGCCCGGCTGAACGATGCCCGGAAATCCATGATTACACAGAATACCACATCAAGATGTTGGCATTGGAAAGTAGGTGTTACCTTATTCCTTCACTACAGCTGTACAAACTCCTACCTGAGCGCATGTGTTGTGACATGCACGACTTTCGGTACTGATGCTCAGAGTCGCTTCTGTGCTTCCAGGTGGCCTGGCCATTCCATTTTGCGCTTGCGCTGCCTTGGCGGCCTGCACCGACAAGGCTGCACATCTTCTGCGGTTAGCTCGGCATGCTCGGCTAAAGCGAGTTCCGGCGCATGGCACATACATCAACGACGTTTGAATGTGCTTTCGCCATGAACCAGTTCACGAAACTTCTTTGCGCCAATGCTCACATGCAAGAAACGCTGAGACGTTACAGGATGTTGCTAGAGTCACCCTGAACCCTTAGCCCCATAAGCCCTATGAGTCCTTTGCGCATCCAAGCCTCATAAGTTCTATCTAAACCCCCCAAAACCCCTTTTGCTTCTTAGTGGCGTCTGCCGAGGCATTGGAGGTCGTCTTGACCACCTGACCCAACCAGGTTCACGGAAGCCTTTCTCGATCTTTCGATGTTGACCCGTTACAGTTGCCTGTGAAGCCTGGCTTAATCGCTGCTTCGTTGCCGATCGCTTTGTACTGACTCGTATCCCACATGAAGTAGAGTCTGGCTTCTCCCGTTACCACAAGAATTAAGAAAGGAACCCGCAAAGAGAAACTCGTCCAAACCGATCCATTCCAAACCCTTGATTGCACATCAACTAATACAGTACTTAGACGAGGTGCGCCACACGACACCACTGGCTGCATTCTGCTCCTTTTCATCCCTCGACGACTCTAAGACTCTACGCTCCCTCGTAACGCGTCTCCACGGCATCGACGGCACCTCAAAAGCTCAACTCCTCGGGCCCTGAAGTCGCAACCAGAGCGGCCGAGTCTGGAATTGCAGCTGCTTGGCGGGGTTCCAGAGCCAAGCGCATCTGCGGGCGTGGGGGTGCCTGAGCAAGCTACGCAGCGATCTGCCTCAAAGAAAACTGGCTTTTTCTCCAGCAAGGTCTCCGACAACGGAGATACCTATTGCAGCTACTCGACCTGCAACACGTCCTTGACTGGGTTAACCGGCGGACCATTTCCAAAAGCCTACAAGGAGCGAACAGGATTCGACAGCAAATCCTGCAGGCCGAGCGTCGAGGCTGTCGGCGTGCGGGGGCCAAAGCGTTTCAGAAGGTCGCAGTGAGGCGATCAGCTTGTCCTGCTCCTCCCGCAAACAAGCAGGTCCAGGTGAACAAAACTCTGCCAATGTTTTCGAGCGACTTCTGCAAGCTCTAGGAACCATAAGTAACATCCCATTCGCGAGACTGTCAATGCTTGAAGGCTCGGCTTTCGCCTCATGCAAGAGCCATGACCAATGATATATACATGAAAGGCACACTCATTTCCAAAAACCCGAAGCTGACCACGTCAGGCCGTACTCCTCCGCGTATTGCCGGGACAGTTCCTGCAGCTGACTGGCAAGCAAGGCCCATGGATCATCCTGAGCCTCGGCCGTGGCACACTTCGTGGTGCACACGCAGATTTTTGATTAAGACTCTGACTATGGCTATGGAGGACCCGCGTCAAGCAAGAATCACGTCGCAAGCGGATGTCCTTTCCTACCCCTGCTACCGGCCACCAACGTACCACCGATTGGCACGAGAACGAATTAAAAGCCCTTCCCAAGGGCCTACCCTCTCCAGTATCGGGCTTTGCGGACGATGCGCATGGCTGCAGTGGCCTGCAGCCATCGCCTTGTCTCGGCGGGCCTCATGTGGCCACGCAAAGTGAGGAACGGGCTCCAGGAAAGTGCTAGACCCAGGCGCCTTGCATGCATTATGCGGCCACTTCAGCGCTAGTTGAGGGCTTTCGGGTTAGATTCTCGCGATAGCTGCAGGAGCTTACTAAGGCTGGCGGAGATCACAGGTCAGACAGTCAGTCTCATACATCAATCACTGATCTTTACATCCACCTCTCCACACTCCCACAGCGTAAACCCGAAATCCGAGATTCGAAAGCACCGACACAAACCCAAACGAGAGAAGAGACCGTCGGCCTGCCTCCCAGCGGCTACATGCAGGCAGGCAGTCGCTCGGGAGATGCTAAGGGCTGCGGCACGAAACGCCCCTTGCTTAAATGTGCTCAAGCAACACACACACACACACACATGCATACATTCGCACACGCATGAACACATGTGTACATAGAAACGTAGACCATAGACTTAGATACATAGACGTACAGATGCAGGCATGTGCATAACAGAAAACACACATAGACATGCGTGGCACTGGTGTTAGCATAGATACTTGTTGATCTGCGTCCAGACATACTTACCTACATACATACGTGGCCGCATAATCGAATAATCCTCCGTACCAGCGTTCCTGCCTGCTTCCCTACCAGCGTCAGCGTGAAAACCTACCTAACCTACCCAATTACAATTTACCGACCTATAAACATACCTCTTATGCCACGCATGTATGCAGCTTAAAACCACTCACATGCTGTCAACAGGAAGGCCCTCAGACAGCATCACTTCACCCCTAAAACCCAATGTTTCAAATACCAACCTCTCGAGTGCTCAGGTCTGAACACATTCTGGATCTGCTCAGCAAAAACAAAGGAGACAGAGGAGGCTCAGATTTTGCACCCTGGCAGGAATTGAAACACAAGCAGACAACGAGATCCCAACGAGAAGTATAAGCAAAGTAGCAGGCAGAGTTTTGCACTCAAGCCTTCCCAGGGGGTAAGTGGCAAGAGTCAGGCTTAGACGGTTCATCGGTGCTGTGCAGAAGACGGTCCAGGCGAGCAGATCCTTTTCTGAACGAGGTCTCTCTGAAGCTATGCAGATCCTAAACCCCCAACTCCCTGCCAGAGCATTCCTATGAAGCCATAGCCGCGCCAAAGCCTTCCACTTCAAGAAAACATGTTTGCATCGAACAGTAACGAGGCACTGGCCGGGATTTCCTTCTTCAGCATGTCCGCGGTCTCCTTCGAACCCGCCATTTCGAATCGTACTCTGGGGCTTTCATTGCAAGGGGTCGTGATTTGGCAGCCGGCATCTGCATGCAATTTCGCTTGTTCCAAACTTTCACGGGTTTGTTGTCCCAGGCTAGGGAAGCCAGGGTTGATATGTTCACGCGTCCGTTTTGTTTCAAGTCCAAGCCTCTTTCGGCCGAGGATGAACCATTGAGATGACCTGGATGGAGAATTTGGGACTCTTGGCGGCTTGGGCTTTAATACGAAGACGGCCTGCATCTCACATTATCAGCTTGGGCTTTAATACGAAGACGGCCTGCATCTCACATTATCAGCTTGGGCTTTAATACGAAGACGGCCTGCATCTCACATTATCATTGAGATACATGATTGGAGGGAGCCACTGCAGGCCCCTCCTCCAGTGCCAAATGTTGAACAACTCTTTGTTGGGAGCATGCAATTGGATGGTATATGATGGCATCCTAGGACGTCTCACGAAACACCGGGTACACTGGCTGTGAGGCAGCCCAAACTTGCACATAGATAGACCTCATGCACGGGCAGAAACGTTGCCAGTTGGGCGTTGTGCTTTCCGGCTGTCGAAGGAGAAAGAGTTAGACCATCATCACGGCCACCATCACCGACATTGTCACCATGACCAAGAGTAGGCAGCCGCAGGGGTGTCTTGTTCTGGGACTTGGGAACTCCGAAACTCGAGTGATCTCAGGACAACTCACTGCAGCATACGGCAGCAGCAAAGCCAACCCCTTCTGCACAATTGCAGAAAAACGAAGTCCCGATGCTTCAATCCACACAGGTGTTGCAATCGAAGTCCTGCGGATCTTTCATGGCCAATACCTCCGGACAGCCAACAGAATATGCAAGGCTGTGACGAGCGAGGATGGTTATCTTGCTCCTCTGCAGCAGTCCTAGGCTTGGTACCGCGAGGGTTAAACTGACTTGGTACTTCTTGCAGACTTGTCCAGAACGTTTGGTTTATTGCTGGCTATATGAGGGGATATGCCATGATTCCTAGTCCGACTTCCAACAACAGCGCAAGCTTGGGGGCTTCAGGGTTCGTGGCAGCACATGGGATTCTCGTCAGAGTGTATTGTTCGCGGAGGCTGCTAGGAGTAGCGTGATCTGGAGTCTGTATGTGCTCGCGCTACCAATGCCTCCTTTTTCTTTCCTATGTAGTCTGGCTTAGTGGCCACCGTGCTTCAGCTCAGAGCCGCTAGGACATGAAAGAACGGGCAGTCAGTCCTTACAAGAGTCCTCACACGGCTGCATTGTGGCCTCTTCCATGCGTAAAGGTCTCGGCTGTCTCGCAACGTACCTGGCAGCATACTTGGTGTGCATCTGCATAAGCCATCAGGATTCTTTCCTGGAGGTATTTCTTACACCGCAACCGCTGCCACTGCTGCTGTACAAGTACATCACAGAACGAGGTAAGCCAACCCCGCACAGCCACCTGTCCAAATCAACGTATAGATAGGTCTCCTGCTTGGATCTGTAACATATGCAGCCCCAGAGCACAAAGCACCGTGATTCACAGCTGCTGAATTCAAATCCGGGCCCCTGTCAGTGAGATTGCAGCGCGCAGCTGCGGCGATCATGGAGGGCTGAAGGGCCAAATGCCCAATAGCACTGCGCGAGCTCAAGAACAAGGTCTCACAAGTTCTTACACAAAAAGCACAAGGCTCCCCTGGCTCCCGCGCAGCAGGAAAGCCAAGCGCGGGTCACTTGTCCAGCACGCTGTCAAGGACACGTCCGTCCTCAGGCCAGTTCCTCGGGTCAGTAAAGAGGAGACCATCAAGGCACCGCATCTAGCGAGACACAGAAGATAAGTGTCACGGAGAGCACATCTTTTCGGATCTGAACGTCTTGGAGCCGCGCTCTGTCTGGTATCTGGCGAAGCAGGGGCAGGTGTCCACGCAAGGGTGGTCGGCCCTCGCAGGACTCGCACGACCGCATCATGAATCTAGAGACATATTTCATCTACTCACGTCCTGAACCCAATGTCAGAAGCAGAACCATGCCGGCGAAATCGAACCACACGGTTACCACTGAGGCTCCAGCACGGCCTCCAAGCAAGCTACATGCCTCGTCTGCGCTTGTGGTGTGGGGCTTAAGGCCACTCACATTTAATTCCTCGCGCATTTGCTCGCGCAGTCAGTCATCGGCCAACTGAAGGTGGTGTAAGGAGCATATACTGGTTTAAACGGAACTATAGAAGACGTGATGTTGAGGTGTATGAAAAGCGCAGACTTTCTCACGGGTGCCCCGGCCTGAAGCTCACAACGTCTTAGGGTTTCGGGCACCACCCAAGATCTGAATTTTCGGGAGACTGGTCGTGGACTCAACATGGAACACTCTGCCGAGTCCCCAACGAAGAACTGGACGAAGAAGCTCGTCTCCAGCACAGCGCGTGCCGGAAGCCTGACATCCACAGAAAGCTTTAACGGAGTCAGACTGCAGGAGGACATAGCCTCGCTGTAAACCTTGAAAGATTTTCTGCGTACTCAGAACGTTCGAGCGCAGTCCAGAAATCGAACACCTGTGACATCAACCCTGATGCTGAACGCCGCGACTTCCAAGCACACCCGTCATCCAGGACGGGCTCCCTAGGGATGCCCAAAGTCGCGGAAACGGCTCACTGCTACAGTGTACTATATACTATAGAGCATACCAAAATCCGCCTGGGCGGCATCGGGCCCGAAGCCCTGGCAGGGCCATCGGGCAAGAAGCCCTGGCCCGGAGCGAAACAACACCCAGAGCTCTGAGCTAGGCGTGTTCTACCGCAGTGCTGGCAGCCAAGCTAGCTTACTCGCTTGCATGTAGACGGAGGGGTGTATTCAGTGGTACCCCTCCCAAAGATGCGTTGTTGTGATGACTGTCTAAGGTGATGAATGCAGACCGTTTTACCAACTTGGTACTGGTACTGGTACCAAGCAGCTCAGCTAAAACGTGCTCGCTACAGGTACAGCACAGACCTCTCTGCTCTACAGATGCAGATCTTTCGGCGGGCACTGCTTGCTCAAGCTGTCGCTGTTAGCTGTACTGGAACGTTGGGCTGACTTCGCGATACGAAGATGACATCTCGCAATGCGGTGGGATCAAGCTGCAGGCTGTCGCTCCGACCTATCTCACATCACTTGCAGGGTGAAGGTCGCATGAACCGACAGTATTTCACGGATCAGAGTAGAACCTGCCGAGCCTGCAGCTCAGCAGCTGCCAGTGCGGCTACATGATCAGAGGGAGATGTGCAGGAAACCGAAAGGGTGGAAAGGAGGGCTGAAATCACAACTAGCAGTAGCGCGTGACTTCCATCGACCATCATCGACCTCTGTATCGCATAGGTCTACGACCTACATCAAAAATCAAAGCTCAGCCCTGGGTTGAGGGCAGCAGTGCCTTTGGTTTGAGCGGGACTGGCTGCGGATCATGTGAAACCGCAGAAGTACAGGCGGAGTGATAGTAATCGTAATTTGGCACGGTGACGCTTGTCAAACATGCGGACATACAAATACATCAAACAGATAGGTTGGGAGGGTTGGGGGGAGGGCTGAAAAGCCGGAGGGCCGCGAAATGCTCTTGCCCTCCCAATCCCTCCAACCCTCCTTAGGTGAAAACCAGGTGGGGCAAATAACAGATCTGGGAATTGAGCCCGTACATATAGTGGCCACGCCAAGACTCAAGCCCACTCCATCTCACTTGCCGGTGCATGGACTGTAGTTTCCAAGCTCCAGCGACCGCCCAAAACTCCAAC